GTATTATCCAAACAGGTTTCGCAAGAGGAGTTTGAATTGGTGGGTGTAAGGTAAGCAGGCATGGGTTCTAGTAGGTCACACGGTGACTAAGAGGTGGCTGCTGTGGCACATATGAACAATCCATGTGGGGTGTGAGGGCCAGTGGGACCGTTAAGCAGGCTGCATCTAGCCGTTCCATAGGGAAGTCACCAGAAAGCAGTTACATAAGGTGGATATCTGGATCGACCACATTGAGGAACCAGGAGGCTTAGTTTTGGGTTTTGATTTATTGTTCCAGCTAATCGACATTCTTTTGAATTGTTTTTGCTATTTGTTGTGTTAGTTGTTCTTCCCAGTTTTTCCTTTCCTGGCCTTCTGTTTAAGAATGATTACCTGAAGTCAGGAGTTTGAGACCAGCCTGATAACATGGCACATGGTGAAACCCAGTCTCTACTAAAAATACAAAAATTAGCCAGGGGTGGTGATAGGTGCCTGTAATCCCAACAACTCAGGAAGCTGAAGCAGGAGAATTGCTTGAACTCAGGAAGTGGAGGTTGCAGTGAGCCAAGATCGCACCATTTCACTGAGGCCTGAGCGACAGAGGAAGACTCTGTCAGAAAGAAAAAAAAAAAGGTAAACATTCAGCCTGGGTGAGGTGGCTCACACCTGTAATCCCAGCACTTTGGGAGGCCAAGGCAGGAGGATTACTTGAGGTCAGGAGTTCAAGACCAGCCTGGCCAACATGGTAAAACCCTGCCTCTACTTAAAAAAAAAAATACAAAAATTAGCCAGGCATGGTGGTGCACATCTATAGTCCTAGCTACTCAGGAGGCTAAGGCAGGAGAATCTCTGGAACCAGGGAGGTGGAGGTTGCAGTAAGCTGAGATCTCGCCACTGCACTCCAGCCTGGGTGACAGAGCAAGACTCCGTCTCAAAAAAAAAAAAAAAAAAGAGAATGGTAGACATTCAAAGAAGGTACACAAAGAGACAGGATCACCTTGAGGAGGCCAGTGGGCAGCACAAATAAATCTGGTGGGTTTGTGATGGTCACGATCTGGCCCTCCTGGATACTTAGAAATAGGATCTGAGGAATATTGGCATAAGACTATGTAAGCTCAGATATTAATGTGCTAAGAATGTCATCTTCAATTGCACTATGTCTTCTTGTTTTAAAATGGAGGTGATATGGTTTGGCTCTGTGTCCCCACCCAAATCTCATCTTGTAGCTCCCATAATTCCCAAGTGTTGTGGGAGGGACCCAGTGAGAGATTACAAATTATGGGGGTGGGTCTTTCCCAGTGCTGTTCTCGTGATAGTGAATGGGTCTCAGGAGATCTGATGGTTTTAAAAGTGGGAGTTTCTCTGCATAGGCTCTCTCTTTGCCTGCCGCCATCCATGTCTTGCCTTCCGCCATGATTGTGAGGGCTCCCCAGCCATGTGGAACTGTGAGTCCTATTAAACCTCTTTCTTTGTAAATTGCCCAGTCTTGGATATGTCTTTATCAGCAGAGTGAAAACAGCCTAACACAGTAGGCTTAATTATTATTCAGGTATGGTAAGGCCAACAGATCAAGAGACAACTGATATTGGCTGGATGCAGTGGCTTGTGCCCCTAATCCCAAAACTTTGGGAGGCTTAGGTGGGTGGATCACTTGAGGCCAGGAGTTCAAGACCAGCCTGGCCAACATGGTGAAACCCTATCTCTACTAAAAATAAAAAAATTAGCCAGGTGTGTTGGCTCACACCTGTAGTCCCAGCTACCCAGGGGGCTGAGGCAGGAGAATCTCTCTAACCCTGGAGGCGGAGGTTGCAGTAGGCTAAGATCACACCACTGCTCTCCTGCCTGGGCATCAGAGCGAGACTGTCTCAAAAAAAAAAAAAAAAAAAAAAAAAAAGACAACAAACTGATATTGAAAAGAGTTTGTTACGCTCAGTTCCCAAGAGGAAATGGGGCTGGTGGCGAGGGTTGTGGGTGCACATTATGCAGCACCACATGGGAAAGCACCCGGGTTGGCTGGGAGGCAGAAGGAGCAAGGGGGAAGGGTGGGCAAGGGCCTTTGTTGTGGTTTCAGTGGGAAGGAATGGGCAAGGCATGGTAAGCAGGTTTCCGGTTGGCTAGTTTGAATAACGTCAGTGGGCTCCGGGGTGTGGGAGTCGTCTCTAGCTGTCTGGTTCCCGGCCCTGGGGTGATTAGGACCAGGGAAGGCGACCCAGAGTATGAGAGCCCTACCAGAGCCTGATAAAGGAGGTGTTTGGGGAATGGGCTCTGGATTGGTTGGTTTGCATGTGGAAGGCATGCTCCTGGGGTAAGCTGTTTTCTATCTCTAGGAATTAGTTAATCCTGGGAGGGGCTGTTCCTCCAGTGTCAGCAAGGTCTCAGGATGTCAAAGCCTCAGGAAATACAAAAATTAAATATGATTATTATGCTTAGCAGCCTAACAGGCTTATTCTCTCCTTTAAGCAAGCACTATGGGAATCAAATTATTAAAAGGCTACACAGTGGGTGATTAATCAGAATAAGAGTGGTTGTATATGAACATTTGTAGGGTTCAAGTACTAGATGCCTGATAGGTGTGTCTCCAGCCAAGAATATGCCAGGCAGTTGTTCACCCCTTCCCTGGGCACCGCTTGAATGGGCACTGTCGACACCTGTCTCAGTAACTGGGGTCGCCCTATGTCCTCCACAAAAGGACTCCTGCCATGATTCAGCATTAGTTGTACTCATTGGAAATCCTAGTCCCGAGTAACTAAGAATGTTACCTATAAAACGAATAAATGAAATGTCATTATATCTGTAAGTTAAATCATACTCTTAAATGAAGTTAAAATGTAACAAAAATGCATTTCAAAATATGTACATATATACATGCCTAATTGCTATTGCAAACATCTATAAAACCCACCATTGGGATCACAATGATATATATTTTACTTAATGGAGTGAACATTCCACTGGATGACTACTTTACAACCAGAACCAAACACAGTTAAGTGTTCTTAGGATTGTTAGAAGATTTAAAATTCTTCTAAATATGGCCAAAAAAAAGGTTTCTTCTTTTTTTTAGACAGTCTCGCTCTGTCACCCAGGCTGGAGTCCAATGGTGTGATCTCGGGTCACTGCAACCTCCCCCTCCTGGGTTCAAGCAATTCTCCTGCCTCAGACTCCTGAGTACCTGGGATTATAGGTGTGCACCACCATGCCCAGCTAATTTTTGTATTTTTAGTAGGGACAGGTTTTACCATATTGGCCAGGCTTGTCTCAAACTCCTGACCTCATGATCCACCTGCCTCAGCCTCACAAAGTGCTGGGATTACAGGCATGAGCCACTGTACCCAACCTAATTTTTTGTAATTTTAGTAGAGACAGGGTTTCACCATGTTGCCCAGTCTGTTCTGGAACTCCTGACCTCAAGTGATCCTCCCACCTCAGCCTCCCAAAGTGCTGGGATTATAGGCGTGAGCCACTGTGCCTGGCCAAAAAACATTTTTTTAATGCTGTTAAATATCTTTTTCATGTTGGTTTCAGAATAGCAACAACAGTTATTCTTTCTTAGTTTTCTATTTATTCAAAGTAGCATGTGGCAAAATTTCTCTTGAAATTATATTGAAATATCATTAGTATTTTAAAGATAAATAAAAATCAGTAACCAAAATGATATTTTAAATCTTTATTGATACCATTTTGTTTATGAACTAATCTCTTTACATATCCTTCCAAATTGTATCCTTACAACTTGAAGTCAAGTACTTTTCTCGATATTAAACTTGCAGAAGCATTTAGCTACCTGTAAATATTAGGTACAATTCTAAGTTCTGAATCAAAAATGTCTAGTGTAATTAATATTAATATTGTTCAAAACATGAAATGGAAAAACCTCTAATTACTTTTTAAAATAAAAGCCACAGTAATTAAATAATTACTATGTACATTACAACTTGCTTATATCAAATTACCAAGAAAAGCATCATGCCAATTGTAGGATCACCTCTACTCAGAAGGCAAAGAAAGTTGTATATGACAATCATCAAATTAATACACTTAGGTTTTGTATAGTCTGATTTATTCTTTGCTGTTAAACTGCTAGATTGAAATAAGGATTCTTTGTTTAAACATCAAACTTTGAAGTTATATAGATCATATAATTATTACTTTATGATATTTTATAATACTAATATGGTATTCATTAATTTGTTAGAAGTTATTCACAGGTCCTAAAATACTAGATGATTGGAATGTCACACTAAATAAGTTATCCTTATTATAGAAATGTCTAATAACTACATATCAGAAATAAGGTGTTTTTTAATATTGCCCAAATATTTAGTACATTTTGTGATTAAGTTTCTACTGCTGCTCTTAATTTTAGTTAACCTAATCTAATCATCAGTTTTTCTTTTTAAAAGAAAGTGAGTGCTTAGTTTCTATCCATGATGAACTTTTTGTTTATTTGATTATTTTTGAAAGACAAGAATAATTTGATATAAGTAAAGAGAAATGCTTTTTAGCTTTTATATCATCTTGTCGTTGGAAACCTATGGATAGGCTTCCAAAACTAATAACAGGAATTAAAAGATAAGAAGAAAGAATAATTCCGCAAAGCAAAACACAGTACACAAACAACAAGACCCAGCATAGAATATTAGTAGGTTGTAAAACTCACTTGCCAGTTAGACACTGATTAAACTGACATCACGAATATTTTAGTTGCTCATTCTAATGCAGTGTTTAACCTTTTATATTTTTAATTAGAGTTTTACCTACCTTCAGTTAACATTTTAAATGAATTAGTTCATTCTTTCTTTGTAGCTTGAGTTTATTGACCTCAGAACATTTAATAGCTGTCAGTATATTCTTTTATGGTTTGAGGAGCATACAAAAAATTGCAATCTCACTTATTAACATAAAATGTTAAAAAATTATTGACTTGGAAACTGTTTCCTAATAAAATATTTAGCCAATCTGAAATTTAAAAAAAATTACCCCAACATATGTGGCCTTCTTTCTTTGCTGATTTTTTTTTAAATGACAAATTTAGACTACATGGAGATTGTTAAATATTAGAAGCATTGAGAAAAATAGCTTTCCTTTTGTTTGAGAGAATTTTCCTTAGCAGAAACTATATATTATTTTTTATGTTCATGATGCCTAGTACAAATCAATTACATTTTAATCTGCCTAGCCATTATGGACTAACCAATTATGAGATTTAAAAGAATGAACATTTAAGATTTCTTCTCTAGTTCTTTGTTTCTATGATATAAACATTTGAAGAAAATGTGTTTCGTACCCATCTCCTAAAAGTTTACTAATTGCTTAATTTGTTCAGTTTGCAATGATTGTCTCCTTAACAACATTTTCTTACTTTTGAATTCTTTAGGGAAAATAGGAACTGTTGGCATAAGCATTTTTTGACCACAAGAAAGAAGGCTGCAAATCTTGTTGTTGACATTGGTATCTGAGATGGGAGGGTGAGAATTTACATTTAAGGGTGGGAGAAACCCTGGTCTGGTTTGGGTAATACTGTGATCCAAAGGGAAAGCTCCTGAACCTCGCCTTTCTAAAATTGCATGATTTCTCCTGCTCAGGAGGCCTGGGGGGATATTCTCCAACAATTCTTTGGACTCTGACAATTGGGAAGGAGATGGCAAGAGGATCTTTTTCTTTCCTATAAGTGCTTTGCCATCTTCTAAAGTTGGAGGGGTAAGGCCAGCTGAGAGCTGGGAATCAGAGCTGTAGTGATTTGCCCCCAAGTTTCTTTTTTGAACTATACTTCTTAAGGTGGAAGCAAATATTGTCTGGTTAGAATCTGGGTCCTGGTCAACAGGGACATCAATGCATTGCTGATTTCCTTCTGAAAGATAAGATTGATAATTTATTTCCTCATATGACATCTTCCTTGAGCTGGCCTGATCAAAGGCTCTTAGCAAATGTGCAGTGTCTTTGACATCAATGCTTTGGTGCCTAGTGATGAACCGCTTGGAAAGTGCCAGCCCATTGATTTTATAAGATAATTCTTCCTCTGGTGTAATATCCTGGAGCTCCTCTTGCAATGAAGCCACTCTGTTCTGGTACATTAAGGATGGGGGACTCTTGATCCATGGTGGAGCCTGGGGGAGCTTGGGCCCCTTAGGGGCCATAGCAGGCTTCCTCACAGGGGAACCTGGGTCCCAGGTATCATCATTGCTTCCAGCAAGCTCAAGATCTTTAAAGCCAAAAAGCATCAGTTCCGTTTCGGAAGAATCTGAAAGTGGTGATGAGGCAGTTTTGATGTCTATTTCTGAAGGAGTGGTGCAGGTGGCTGGGGAATGACACCCATCTATGTCCACAGGAGGCACATTTAAGTACTGTTTAGTTGTATGCTTCCCACAGGGTGACTTTGCTGTTGTGATGATGATGACCTCTTTCCCTTTAGCCTTGCAAGCACTAAGTAGAACTTTCATTGTCTCTGTATCTTCTGAATTTATAGCATAAACAAGAGCTGAGTAACTAGAATGGTCTTGCAAGCTGAGGTCAGCCCCACTCTTGAGGAGCAAGGAAACAACTTCAGGGCCAGCTTTTTCTAAGCAAGCATGCATCAGAGCCGTTTTCCCAGATTTGTCCTGTATGTTGGGATCGGCGTTGTTCTCTAACAGGTATTTCACCATTTTGGCTTTACTGACACTCTGGTGATCGAAATGTTTGGTCTTACAAGCGATCATTAAAGGGGTTTCCCCACGGTCATTGCTCTCATTAATGTAGGCACCGCCTTCTAGCAAAAGTCTTGTGAGGCGAAGCCGGCTCTGATGAACTGCTTTGATCAAGGAATTTCCTTCACTTGAAATTTCCATACATTCATCCATCTTCAGAAGTTAGAAATCAATACCTGGTTATCAAAGACAGTAAAGACCAAAAGATTAGCCAGAATCCACAACCCAGTTTATATTCATTTTGTGAGAATTTCTAAAATATGTACGCGACCTAAATGGGATTATGCTGAATAGTGAATTGCAAAATAAAATAAATTTTTGAATTGTAATGACCTTTATGAAATTACAAATTAAAATTTATTTTCAAAATCTTCGTTGATATTTATAACACCAACATAGCACTTTCTGAAGTCCCATATTAATTAAACAATAATCCACTTATTTTCTACCTGTGGAAAATATTTTTTAAATTAATAATATTAAAAAGAAAATTTAGACAAGTACTGTGGCTCACATCTGTAATCCTAGCACTTTGGGAGGTTGAAGCAGGAGGATTACTTGAGGCCAGGAATTTGAGACCAGCCTGGGCAATGTGTACTGAAACTCTGTCTCTACCAAAAATAAATTTTAAAATTAGCTGGGATGGTGGTGTGGCCTGTAGTTCCAGCTACTCAGGAGACTGAGGCAGGAGGATCACTTGAGCCCAGGAGTTTGAGGTTACAGTGAAATATGATCATTCCACCTGCATTCAGCCTGGGTGAAAGAGTGAGACCTTGTCTATAAAAAAAATTAACTAATTAAAATGTAAATTTTAAAAAGTAAATTTAAGCCATAGAGCCAAAATTCTGTGTCATTGCAACTGGATCCATTAAAACATAACATGTTTGTGGTAGCTCAATGTAAAAGCTTTAGTATTACATTGCTTAAACATGCTTTTCAATTAAATAATGCAAGTGATAGCTAGATTTTCAATTTGAGGGACATTTTTATGTTTTTTTTTTTGAAGGATGAAATATTGTTTGGGCTACAACATGTTAAAATAACTGACATAATATCTGAAATTCACACTGAGACTGGAATGGTGAGCATGTGATTATGTAATTTTCTTGATTCTATTATTTAAATTATATATTGACCAGATAATGGGGTTAGAAAGAACTATAGGGTTAAATTTTGACAGCAGTATCTCTGCTCTGAAAAAGGAGTTTTATAGGCAAGAAACCTGAAAGAAGCCATGACGACTTTGTAAACATTTTCATTTTTATTATTGAAACTAAACAATATTTATGTTAAACTTATTTAAATATTTTAGATTCAGACTCCTTCAACAGATCATTCCATTAAGTGGTAAGAATTATGTCTTCATCTAGGGCTAATAAAACTTTTGTTTTTTAACAGTCCTTAGAGTTGGGGACTCAGATGAATGCATATATAATATTTAAATCTGTTTCACTGATTCAATAGTTTTTGGAAAGTGAAAACTATTATTTATTTACTTTTAAAATTAAAATTATGGAAAATGGATTTCTATTTGATAATAGAATAGATAACAAATCTAACAACAGCCAGAAGAAAGAAAAGATGAAGACGGCGAAAAAGTGAAGAAAAAAGAGAAAAGTAAGCATGCAGGCAGAAATTCCATTGTTAAACTTCTACAGGCTCCTGATATGTGCTGGGCACTGAGCTACAAAGACACAAGCCCTATCCCTGAGGAGCTCACAGTCTTTTGGAAGAGATACTGTATAAGCAGCTGATTACAGAGTCAGGAGAGCACAGAAGCTTTAACATCCTGGGGACCGAAGCAGGCTTCACAGAAGCCAGCCATTGAGTTGGATCCTAAAAACTGTGTAAGAATCTGGCAGGCAGACAAAGGAGGAAGGGAGAAGTAGATAACACTGCTTTTGCAAAGACCTAGAGGCCTAAAGTAGCAGTTATTTATCAGGAAACAGGCTTCATTTACTTGGTTACAACCAAACTTTAGGATAATGTTTTAGCAGATGGTTAGAGTTAGGGTTAATATGGCAGAAGACACATCATCTAATTTTGCTTCTTCCTGAAACTCCTTAAAACCAAATAATTTTTTCAAAGACATAAACTCTTAAAGATAGAAGGATGAGAAGATGGCAGCAACAATATTTTGGAAGCCAGAAAGCAGTGAGCCAGTAGTAACTGACTCAGCGTGTGTGTGTGTGTGTGCGTGTGTGTGTGTGTGTGTGTACGCGTGCAAGCATATGTGTGAAGAATACAGCTAAAATGAGGAACAGCTGAAAAGCTGTTAGATAAGCAGCTAGATTCCTAGGTCCTTTTGCTACCTGAAGTGTGATCCTACCCTGGCATCACCACCAGAAAACTCATTCGATGTGCAGAAGCTCAGACTCCACCCCAGAGCTACTGAATCAGAGCCTACATTTTAACAAGATCCCTAGGCAATTTGTATGCACAGTAAAGTTTGAGAAATACAGCCTTAGGTCATTCCTCCAACTTCCAGTCACTAGGATATGGAAGACTGCCCCTCCTGCCCTACGGGATGTCTAGAGGTTTATTCTCAGGAAATGATGAAACAGAGCATCTCTGGACTGGGAGACACCAGTCTTCTTGTTCTTTGAGAAAAAGAAACAGGGGAATAAGTGATTGCTTACTGACCACTGCTGAAGGCTCCCACAGCCTAATTCCCCAGCTTGGCTTGCTGGCAGCCATACCTTCACCCTCAGGGAAAAATTGCTATAGCTTTCTCTCAAGAATCTGACATGCTACCCAGGTCAAACAACAGTGAAGCTTACAGGTCACAAGCCTCAATCTGTGTGCTTAAGGCTTCTCATCAGCTTTTAATCCCAACCCTTTAATCGTCAGCAGCCACAACAAGAATTTAAAAACAAAAATTCCTCTTACATTGAAGATAGAGACTAGAACAAATTGAAAAAAGCAACTTGGGGCTGGGCACGGTGGCTCACACCTGTAATCCCAGCACTTTGGAAGGCCAAGGCAGGTGGATCACGAAGTCAGGAGTTTAAGACCAGCCTGGCCAAGATGGTGAAATCCCGTCTCTACTAAAAATACAAAAAATTATTAGGGTGTGGTGGCACACACCTGTAGTCCCAGCTACTCGGGAGGCTGGGGCAGGAGGATTGCTTGAACCTGAGGGGCGGAGATTGTAGTGAGCCGAGATCACACGACTGCACTCTAGCCTGGGCAACAGAGTGAGACTCTGTCTCAAAAAAAAAAAAAAAAGAAAGAAAAGAAAAGAAAAAAGCAATTTGGAGGAAACATGTTAATTAGAAAAATGAGAATCTCAAAAATGCATTACCCTCAAAAGTATAGGAAGATGTTGACAGAGCAGGAGAATTGCCATCTTGGACAAGCCCCTCATTCTAAAGTTCACCTTCATAAAAAACCACCTAAATCCAAAGGCATGCCTAATGGCTAAGGTCAGTATGACCATAAACTACAAATAACATCTCCACCCAGAAACATTCCAAACTCCTCCCCAACCAGAGGCATGCTAGCCCCAAGATAAACCCCACTCCGGTCGGAAAGACGTCTACCCCAAGATATCCTCCCCTCCTCCCAGAGAGATTCCAACCCTGCCAAAAACTTCTCCACACACATAAATGTTCCAAGCCCCCTCACCCTAAAACTAATATACACTCCTAGTCTGTAAGAGAAAGTGTTCCTGACCAAAATGGGCCAGGAGCACCTCTCAGGTTTGATCTATAGTAAACCTGTCTTTAACTGCCAGCCACATTTCATGTTTCTTTCCTCTTTCTTTAACTCTTACAGTTGTAACCATGAAACATGAATAAGATTCTATGAAAAAGGAATATTCAGAGATCATAAAAATGAGCTCTCTTAAGGTAAAAACATGATACCAACCTGTAAAACTCAATAGAAGGGTTGGATGGTAACACTGATAAAATCTCTAACATAATCAAGCAAAAAGAAAAGAAAGGAAAAGAAAAAGATAGAAGACTAGACCAGGAACTCCAACATCCAAAATAAGAGAAGTTTCAACAAGAGAAAAAAGTAGGGGTAGGAACAAGAAGGGGCAAGTAGAAGAAGAGATCATCTGTAAGATCAAGAAAAGTTTCTAGACTTGAGGGTCATGAGTTGCCAAATTGAAATGGCTCAAAGGAGAGCATAGTACAATGAAAATTTAAAAACAAACCAACAAAACACACACAATGGCACATAGTCAAATTTCTAGTAAATTTCTAGAACAAAGACAACTAAGATTCCAAAATCTTGGGGTCAGGGATGGGCTAAGAGTTTGAGGGGTGGGGATAAGTCTATTTAAGAATCAAGAAATAGCACAGGCAATGAAGGAAGGTCTTTTAAAATCTGAAGGAAAAATGGTTCTTAGCTTAGAATTCTATATTAAGCAAATCATCAAGGAAGAACTGCAACATACTCTGAAGAATTTACCAGAGCATGGAATCTACAAAGATGACATGGTAGAACCAGAAAAAAGAAAATATAAGATACCAGAGACTGGAGATCATCATGGAAGAAAGACACGAAGAATTTTCAGGAAAATGGTGAAGCGAGATGCCAGGAAAATGCTTATGCCCAGACATCCCCTCTGAGGCCACCCTGCCATTTTGCCATCTTGTTAACTGAGGACCAGATGCCCCGGTGAGCCTGCCCTCAGTTCTTTTCTCTACTTGCTTGGTCCCAGCCACACCTCTGCTCTCTCCTCTGTGTCCTGCTTTCGGAGGCAGCCAATGGCACTCCAGCTCCACTCAGGTGTTTGCTTTGACTGCCTGGGAGTAAGTCCAGGTGGGCTTAGGAGGAGAAAGACTCAATGGCCTGTCCCTTTGTATATCCAGTTCCTGGTCTACTCTGTAGCTCTGCCAGAAGCACTGTAAGGGCGACCCCATGCTTCCTAGGACTCGTGACCTTGCCTGGAGGGGCTCTTGTAAAGGCTCAGAGAGACTGAGCCAGACTAAGACCCAGGGTCTGTCCTGCTTATCCTCTCCTGGAAGTTTTGTCATATGCTGGCAATCTTGTCCTTTCTTTATTCATCTAATTTTGTACCTGATGCTATTTTTAAAAATAAACAATTATTTTAGTTAGGGATCAAGTATAAGGGGAAACCTGAAAATATTTTTAAAAATCAAAGGGAATGATTAATACAAAAGTCAACAAAAAGCTACTCCTTGGTAGAGATTAGGAAAACAATGTCATTTGGGAGGGACACAGAGTGGCCAAAGGTTCAGGTGATGTTCTGTTTCCCAGTCTGGGTGGTGCATAGGAGAGTGTCCATTTTATTCTCCTTCTTGAGACAGTACACATTTCACATACTCCTCTGTATATCACTCTTATTTACTTATTGTAAAATAGAACATGTGTGCAGAAAAGAGCATAGCATATATGTAAGATATATTTCATTATTAAATATTCCAAAGTGTCCTATTAGATCTTACTTTTTACAAGACTAATTCAGTTCTCATGATATTATTGATGGTATTTGTGCCTTGACTTTTAACTGGAATTTCAACTGACTAAGCTCCTGAAAGGCAGTATTCAAAAGGACATAGTGTTCATCTCCACTTCAGTACCATTCCTGATGCAAAGCAGAGAACTACTCAATATATATGCACGTGAATGCTTTGATGTTATGTTCCCTGTGCCATACTCTGTAAAAGCTATCTTGGAGCCAGACGTACCTGCAAGTCAGGAACTTAGGAATTTGGGATCAGTTGACACCTTGGGTCCCAACTCAGAGGTCTATTCTGAATGCAAAGCATCTGAAAAGAGCTCATGTGAGACAGTGATCACAAAAGAATCATTTTAAAAACATTTGTATGTATAAATGGGCTTAATAGAGCATAGAAATTTAGAGAAATGAGCCAGAATATAATATCAAATATAGAAACCACTTAGTAATTGCATTTCAAGGAGCTATACAGTATCAGTCATTAAAAAAATTCTTTGACCAAAAGTAGCATCTGAGAAATAGATATTCAAATGAAAACAAGTTGCCAGATACCTGATTTCAATATTATACTCTCATATAGTTTCTAGTATTTAGGTCAATCTTGTTTTTATTTTTTAAAATCTTAGCAGAATCTTTGGGGGAAGATATTTTACTTACAATTTTTTTAAAATGTTTATTTTATTTTTTGGAATGGGGTCTTGCTATATTGCCCAGGCTGGTCTTGAACTCCCAGCCTCAAATGATCCTCCTGCTTCAGCCTCCCAAAGTGTTGGAGTTATAGGCGTGAACCACCATGCCCAGCCAAGACTTTCTACTTTTCAGTCACCCTCAAGTAAAGGCCTTTCTCCACTACACTAAACATGAGCACTTGCTGTCACAGATTTCTTTCACCAAGGTTGGTGTCAGGAGGTTCTGGGAGAAGAAGAGGAGCTGGCACTATGCTGGTGACTGCCATGCCTAAAGAGGACAGTGACCCCATCACAGTCTTGTGGAAAAAGAGGGTGCTGTAGGCTCCAGGGTCCCAGAGAAGTTGAGCAGTGGCACCAACTCGCTGCCTAATCCACCCGCAACGTGGACAGAGGCAGACCCTCTCCCCTGAGGACTGGGGAGTGTCTAGCAAAACGAACCCCATAAGGTTGACTCTTTCCTCATTATAAAGACTTTTAAAGCCACTTTGTTTGCTCACTTTTTAACATTTAGTAGAGCAATTTTGACATTGTCTAAACATACTTGTCAGGAAAAAGATATCAGATACTTTATTCTCCAAATGTGTAATCCATGTTCAGGTTCTTTCTGTAATCAGTACCTGAATGGAAGAATCCCCTTCTCTTTAGGCCTTCATCCTTTTCCGGGGTTCTTTTATCTTGCCTTCTCCAGTTGTACATCAAAAACACTGATATTTACGTCTGACTTATTTCCTTTTCTTAGAGTTGAATTCTACTTTTGATGAAGACCACTTCTCTTGCCTAGAATGTTCTTTCCTCCTTGAAGCATCCTGGCTGGATCCTGAGTGTTGATAGCATATTAACATCCAATGGATCTCTTTGTTATCCCTAGACTATAAGCAATCTCTAAACTTAGCTGCACCTTCCATATAGATAATAGTTCAACTGCTGAAAGTTCAGGCATCAGACAGCTGTCAGTCGTGACTCTCCTACTCATTGGCTGTGTGCCCTGATCCAGCCTCTCAGCCTCTAGGAGTCTTGAGCTCCTCATGTGTGAAATGACAATCATAGAACATTCATTCTATGGGGATGTGGTAATGAAATCAGACAATGTCTAGAAAAAGACTTTCCTGTTGTGTCTTCACAGTCACTGCATTCCTCTTTTTAAAATGTTTATCTCATAATTAGCTTTTTAAAATGTTTATCATGTCTCCAGTCCTAAGCCTATTTAAAATAACAGATGATATGTTAGAATTTTTTTTTAAGGATCTCATATTTCTAGGATGCAATGCTTCATCTCATTTTGTAAATATCAGTGGAATCTAATAAGTGAAACATGGAAAGAACATATCCTTTAAGTGTATTTTCCTTACAAGTTCCAAACACTATCATTTCAACATTATTACAGGATATTAATTATTAAAAGGCTGGATAAGCTGCTTTTCATTTAAAAATTACAATGTCTTTAATATCACTTGCAACTCATCATGGCATATTTATGATGCTCCTTTAGTTCCTCTCTCTATGCCCAAGATGCCACCAAAATTATAATCATTGAGTTATTTTTTTAAAAGATTTAAAATATGTATATATGTATTTCTTTTTGAGACAAGAATCTGGCTCTGTCGCCCAGGCTGGAGTGCAGTCGCACAATCTTGGCTCACTGCAGCCTCTGCCTCCCGGGTTCAAGTGATTGTCCTGACTCAGCCTCCTGAGTTAAATACCCTTTTTTGAGACAGAGTCTCACTTTGTCACCAGGCTGGAGTGCAGTGGTGCAATCTCAGCTCACTGCAACCTCCACCTCCCAGGTTCAAGCGATTCTCCTGCCTCAGCCTCCTGAGTAGCTGGGACTAGAGGCCACACCACCATGCCCAGCTAATTTTTTGTATTTTTAGTAGAGACCGAGTTTCACTATGTTGGCCAGGATGATCTCCATCTGTTGACCTCGTGATCTGCCCACCTCAGCCTCCCAAAGTGCAGGAATTACAGGTGTGAGCCACTTTGCACAGTCAAATATGTATATTTTTAAGAACAAAGAAAATTGGAGGAGAGATACCATTAGATGAGCAATTTCAAACAAGCTCTGATTGGTGGAGTGGCAAATGGCCTTATCATAGCCCCCTCTGCTATGATAAGACACAGACCCAGGGAGGTGGCCCTGAGGGGAAGGGAGCTGCTTACCCACAGGACCTGTGACATTTAGGACTTAGAGATCCCAAGTGCCAGAGCAAATGGCAATGAGTAACAGGGCTTAAAACAAGAGGATGGTTGAAAAAGTCTGTGGACAGAATAACTGGACCCCCCTGTTTTATCTGATCCCAAGTAGCAGAGAACCACTTTCCTAGGCAAGAAAACAAAGATTTATTTTCTAAGTTGATCAGAAAGGCTCCAAACTTAGAGGCAGCTTGCTGAAAACAGGGGGATTCAGTGAGCATGTGCAGGTCAAACAGTGAAGTCCCCAGCTCCCTGCACAGCTACAAGGGGACTAGAAGCCAGGAAAAGGAAGTAAGAAGCATTTCATCTTAGAGAGATAAGCCCTGTTAAAAATATCTCTCGATACATGAAAGCAATTCAAACCATAACTGCATTCACCCTTCCAGACACCCACTCTAAATGGAAATAGAAATTACCTGAAAACATTATTCAAAATTTTATACTTCACTTTTGTGTCTTCGCTCCCTGGATGAGTTTTCTGTCAGCCAGCTGTCAGTTCCTACTGAAGGAAATCAAAGCTATTCAGTGTTACATAAACACCAATAACTTGTTACATGCATCTTTCCCATTTGGAGTCTAGTTTTTAAATTCCTTATTAAGAAATCCCTACAATGTTTGCTCAGTTAGTCATAGCTCACTGATTATGAGTTTGTAAAGTGTCTGGAGATTCTATGCACAGCACCCCTGTGTGTGTCTGCCTGCAGGACCGAGTCAGCCATGCAAGGATTGCTGGGGTTGGGCCGGCCTTGGCGCTCACTTGGTGCAGATGAGCAGGCTGAGAAAGGAAAGGTGAAGGCATTCTCCCGAAGTCAATCATCTTACTCACCTGCTTGCTAGAAGTTAAAGTTCATCATCTGGCCATGGTGAGGGAGAACTTAACAAATGGGTTTTAACTCAAAATTCAGCCCATCACCCTTGCCCCAGTCCCTGCCTATGTGCTGCCCCAAAGGGAATTTGGGACTGCTCAGATGAGGCAGCAAGGTATCAGGGACCTGGGCTCTGGCTCTCTCCAAGTTACCAATCTCTGGGCGGTCATTTTTCTTAGCCTTAGTTTCCCCACCCCTAAAATAGGGATAATACCTACTTTACAGGGGATGATTATGAGGATTTTAAAAGATCCGAACACACTTGCTACTTTATTCAATAAATGTCCATTTATAAACATGCATCACCAAATATAGGCACTGCATACAGGAATCCTGGTAGGGTCTGACAAGGAGAGGCCAAGTTCCCTACACCAGTGGGTTGTTCTTCCTTTGTGGGCATAAGAATCACATGGAGACCCTGTTAAAAATAAAATTCCAGCTCCGCTCCCAGATATTCCATGGGAGGTGCTTCTAATGCACACTTGGAGAAAATCTGAGGCACACTCTTCATTCTTCATTCCAGGCCACTTCTGTTTGCTATGGACCCCTGCCTCAGATTCACACAGGGCTGTTTCCATCATTACTTCCAAGTGGCGTGATGCTTAGCTCCCGTGCAGGAGTGGAAGGCAGAGATGGCTGCCACAGCCTAGAGGGGTTCCAGGGAGGTCACAGGCCCCAGAGAAGAGGACAAACTTGAAGTAGTAGAAAGGGCCAGGAGCTGAAGGTTTGCTGCCCTGCTTTTCCTAGACAAGTTTGAAAAAACCTGGAGCCCTAGGGGGCAGCCGAAGGCCAGGAGGGAGGCCAACTCCACTTGGAATAAGGCAAGCTGGCCTGCCACAAGCAAATGTGTGTCTTCTCCCCACCCAAGGAAAGGGGCAGAGCCATAATAAAAGATGTATATGAGGTCGTCCTGGAAAATGGAATGACTGGCCAGAAAAAGATTCTTCCCTGGTATTGACTTCCAAGAAATATTTAGAAACTGCCCAAGAAGACGGTTTGCTATGTTTCCCACACGTACCTCCAAAGGGCTGCTGTGTTCTCCCAGTTACTTCGGCTGTCCCCCAGGCCTTTGGGGGCATATACGCCCCTACCGCTGCTACTGATTCGCCTCCCCCCAACACACACAGACATACGAAAGAGGGAAGGGGGGGAGAGAGAGAGAGAGAGAGAGAGAGAGAGAGAGAGAGAGAGAGAGAGAGAAACCAACCTACTCTTCCAAGTCTCAGGGAATCAAGATGTTGGGATTTCCAAGCTGTTGAGGATGCTGGCAGCGTCTCCACGGTCCCTGCCGACCCCAGGCGCGTTTCTTAGGTTTTTCCTGAGAGCAGGAGGAAGCGAGCACAAGGCGCTGTCGGAGAAGGGCAAAGGAAGGTGACTGGGGCGACCGCGCCAGGGCACCGATGGGGGCAGGGTGCCCGTTTCGTCCCATCTCTGAGCCAGGCCAGGCAGCTGGCGGGCTAAGGCGATCGCCATCCATGCAAACGGGTTCTGCCCACAGCCGCTGCGGAGCGGTCCCTACACCGCCCGCCCGCCCGCAGGACACGGCCCTCCCTTGGGAAATGGCGCGTCTGAGGGGCGCAGCCACGGCCCCCATCCCGGAGCAGGCGCAAACCTGCACCCGCCTCTCCGCTAAGGGGGTCCGGCATCCTGGTGCCAAAGCTGTGCGCACCTGGGAGGCGTGGGGACCGGCTGCCCGCCCCTGTGCGGCTCCTGCTTCCAGGGACAGGGGCTGCAAACGGCTCCGCAGTAACCAGCCCGCCCCCTGCACCCACCCGGCACCTCCTGCTACCCGCACCTCCTGCTGCCCAGCAGCCGAGGAACCTGCTGAGACGCGCCCAAGTCAGACCCTCCGACCCGCGCGCTCCTGCGGCCCAGCGAGCGCAGCTCCCGCTGCTGCGCCGACCTGCGCCTGCCAGGCCCCCGCCCCGCATCCTCCTCGACACCCCGAGGCCGGGCAGCCCTCGCCCCTTCCCGCCTCTCGTCTAGGCTGAGAAGGAGGCGGAACCCGCATCCCCTGGGGTCCAAGCCCCAGCCGCCACAAAACTGGAATCGAAAACCAGCGGGGACCGCAGGAGGCGCGGCGAGGGTGAGCTCGCGTGGAGCGCGCCCCGGGGTGGCGGGGCAGTCTCCCGGGAGGCCTCTGCAGCCCGGCGGCCCTTGGCTGGCCCTGGGTCTCGCACCCCGCTCGGGGCACTGCAGTGTCAGGGTGCGCGAGAGGTGCGGGCTTCAAGGGCCTGCGTGGCACCTGGCGGGGCGCGCCGAGGCCGTGCGGCCGCCGGGTCCCGGGCTGCGCCCCAGCTGTTCCCCTCTCCGCAGCCTCCACTGCCAGCCAAAGTTTCCCAAGTGCAGCCGGCGGGGACGGCGCCTCGCACTGACCTGGGACGCGCTGTCGAGTTGGCGACGGCGCTTGCAGCCTCCCTCTGGGGCTGCCCGACCCTCCGTGCGGTGGTTCTAGGGCGCCGTCCGAACTGAGTTGTGGTCTTCGGCACCTCGGCGGCTCGAATCGCAGATCTCGGTAGACTGTCGCCCCGTCCCCGCCCTGCTCGGCGGAAAGAGGCGGGCCACTGCCGCGAGCGCTAGAGCTGGCACCCGGAGCGCGCACCTCGCCAGACACCCGGCCAGCGCGGCGCTTCCGCTGGGGGTGACGCGTCTGCTCCCGGTTCAGCTGCAGGTGAGTGCGGCAGGGCCACTCTGGACCTCGGGGGCCAGATGCTGTTCGAAGCTCCGCCTTCTGTCCCAGTAAGTCCCACCCCTGTCCCCCGCTTCGGCCACCGCGCTTTGGCCAAGGCGACTTGGCCAACAACAGCGGCAGCAGGGTCTCCCCACTGAGGGGAGCACGCGCCCCTACATCACGGCCTTTGGCTCCTCCAGTCGGTGTCCCTCCCCTCAGCTCACATCCACCCGCTGATCCATGCATCTGTCAGTCACACTCATCCTTCCACCTATCCACGTCCCTGTACCACTTCAGGTAAAGCCAAAGCCTCACTTCAGGTTCAGGTGTTAGTGGGAACAACCGTTCTTGCTTATGCCTTTAGGAATTTATAACGTTGTTATACTATTATTAAAACATGAATAGAACATACTAACAAAATTTCGCAAAATGCATTTCATATGTTAAACTCCACTGAGAGATGAAAAGGAAATGAAGTAGAAGCAACTTTTTGTTGTTGTTGTTGTTGTTGTTGTTTTCTAAGAAATTTTTCGGGTTTTTTTTTTTTTTTCTTTTGACAGAGTCTCGCCCAGGCTGGAGTGCAATGACACGATCTCAGCTCACTGCAACTTCCACCCTCTCCCCGCCTTCAACCAATTCTCATGCCTCAGCCTCCGGAGTAGCAGGGATTACAGGTGTGCACCACCATGCCCGGCTAATTTTTGTATTTTTAGCAGAGACAAGGTTTCACCATGTTGCCCATGATCCGCCCACCTTGGCCTCCCAAAGTGCTGGGATTACAGGCATGAGCCACAACGCCCGGCCAGAAGCAACG